CGTAGGGAATAACGTCACTGACAGCCGTCTAACGTCCCAGGGGCGACTCCCATAGCAATATGGTAGAGTTGGTACTTAGTGCTCACCATGGTTCTGGCTTGCACTCCCCTCAGCATGGTGGCGTGGGTATACCGTTCCCCATAGCGACCCCTAGAGGACGCAGTTCGAAGTTCCCATGAAAGGGAACGTCTCAGGTTACTTATGTAACCATGGTTCCCTGATTAGGGAAAGAGACACTGCGTCCTCTAGGTTTCTTGCCATGCTGCGGACGCAAGCTTCAGACGAAGAAGTGAATGATGTGTAGTGACGTCATGGCTGTTGCCGGCCAACGAGTTGGTGTTTTTTCAATGTATGCTTCAGACACGGGTCACGACGAGGCGTTCCCCATAGCGACCCCTAGAGGACGCAGTGTCTCGTTCCCTACTCAGGGAACCATGGTTACATAAGTAACCTGAGACGATTTGTCTTATTTGAATCCAAAAAGTAACATACTGGCTATATTTATGCAACTGGCCCTGGGTTTGCTTAAACGTGCCTTCTTAAAGACAGCTCACTGTAAAATAATCATTTAAAAGAATTGAGTACAACATCTATACCTAACCATCTAAAAAATAGGCTTGAACAATTGGATGTTTTTATTAATTCATGATTTATTTGGAAGCCAAAACGTTTTGTTCTGCACCTCGTACAAGGTCCTTTTTTTCCAAGTTCAAATCACTCACATTTCACAACATAAACTTAACACTGTGACACGGTCTTGTGCATTTGGATGCAGCCTAACATAACATGACAGAGGGAATTGACTCCCCCCACTCATATTCAGTGACCTGTTGAATAATTCATGAGACAGGGCTTTGAGTGACAGCACCTGCTGTGAACAGGCAAACCAGGCGAGTGATGGAGATGGAGAGCAAATGCGATCAGGGCCTAGAGTCATAACAGCTAATCCTCAATCTTATCATGTTAGCACAGACAGGAAATGACATACGTACATGGGATACGGAAGGACAGACATGGTAAAGGACAGTTTTTAGAGAAGGAAATGGGATTTAAAAGGGGAGAGATTAAGCTGGGATAGGTACTGAATATTCAGCATACCGGCAGCTAAAGCTTAAGCGGTGAACCGAAGTTCAAAAAAACTTAGACTGTATGAAATTTTAAACCAATTTCTAGTAACACAATCACAGATTAATTGCAGATTAAACCTGATTACTGGTAATTATTCCAAAGACTCCAGGTCTTATTTGCAACTACATGATCTGAAATTCCAAGACACCGAAGCTATTAAAAACTGACAACCCAATCCAGAAGCCCATTACGAGGATAAACATGTCAAATGTACAGCACATGGAAAGAAGTCACTAAAATATAAGCAGAAACTGGAACCTGCCTTTAAACTTTTAAACCTCTTATGTCAGGCTTCACCGTTCTGCCAAGGCAGCGATTTGCAGTCATGGAGTCTCCATATTCCCTTTAAGACTTTCCATCTGAGCAATGACATCGAATGAGGATGTTCGCATTAGCTCCTTTTGACACAATAGTACATCTGCTTCTGCCACTTCCTGTCTTAGATTTAAATTAACAATATTATTGAATAAAAGTTTTTTGTAACTCTAAGGAATGTAAGTATAATCATGGTATAGTACCATGTTTTTTGGAGCTATGGTAATAGACAATCATATAATTCTACTGTACTATGGTAATTCCACGGTATTCTTCAGAATTTTGTTATAATTATTCAGTTCTATATATCAAAGTGCCTTGGTTTTAACATTGTTTTTCTATAGATGGCATTCAGACGGCAATACTATAATACTTTGAAATATATGCTTCTGAAATTTAGGTACCATAGTATTTGGTATTCCAAGGTACTTTCAAAAATACTGTTATTTTTGTCATTATCAGTGTTTTGGGTTTATTATTTATTATTATTTACTACATACTATAGTAATACTTTACATATAATTGTAATATTATGTTTTTGAACCTGTAGCATGATAATTCCAGGGTAGTCTTTGAAGTACTAAACTATGTTTTTATGCTGGACATTTACCATCAAAATACCATGGTTTCTTTGATATCTACCATTGTATGCATTAAATACAGTAACATATACCAGGTACCACAGTATTACAATTTTTTAGACACATACTGTAGCATATTAACTTACAGTTCAAAGTATATACAGTAACAATAGACAGTAGCATAATACATTAAAGTAGCATGATACTATCATCTGATGCCATTCCATGACTTCTTGGCCAATGTACAATGACTGGAAGTAACTGATTACGTGTAATCTGGATTACGTAATCAGATTCTAAAAATTAAGTACTTGTAATTAGAGTATATTGCATTTTAAAATGCTCATAATCAGATTACGGTTACTTTTTATGGATTACATGATTACATATTATTCACACAATGGCAGCAAATTATTCATAATTCATTGACTCACCACAATTTTTCCCCCCTTTCTAAATAAACCTACCACTTACATATAGTTTGGGAAACCCTGCTCTACTGTAATGTTTAATGCATTTCATCATGTTGATGACAAAGAATAGAATATATTTTCTTTTTTTTATTGTTTTGTTTTATAAACATAGAACACAATAATCCCGTTCAAGTCTATGTGATAAATTAGTTAAATCAAAAGTAATCTACAAGTAATTAATAAGTAGTCAGACTACATTACCTGTATCAAGAATTATGTATGTAATCAATATTATGTTACAAATTACAGTTTTTGTCATGTAATTTGTAATCAGTAATGGACTACAATTTGTAAGTAATCTGCCCAGCACTGCAAATGTACCAAAGCAAACCACAGTATATGAAAATGGTAATGATTCAGTATATCAAGTACTATAGTATTACCATGTTTTTTTTCTTTAGACATAATTATAGTAATAGCTTGGAGTTCAATGTATGTAAACATTGTGGTAGTGCAGCACCATAACATATATTAAAGTAACATGGTATTGTCATCTAATACCACCACAGTGCTTTTTGTTAATGAAACCAGAGGAAGCACAGGGTTGTCGAAATTTCTTGATGAAATCTCAAAGCGCAAAGGGCAAACATCCCGCCCCCAGTGTGCTCTAAATGGCTGGATTTCGTCCAAGGCTTTAACAGACTGAAATCCCTGCAGAAGAATCTTTTAAATGCTTCTGTAAGCAGGAAAGGTATCATAGGCTTACCCGTTTAGAGGATCCACAACAATGGCCCTGGGATGAGACATATTGCCTTCTAAAAGTGTTCTCCTGGTCTGCGAGGGCCGGTCCAGCCCGGCCACGCTGATGGTCTTTCTATAACCATCATTTGTCCAGAACAGGTTATTTCCTATCCAGTCCACCGAAATACCCTCAACATTATCCAGCTCTGGAGAAAGAGAGAGCAGAAAGAAATTGAGAAAATGTTGTTCTTTTAGCTTGATAACATCAAAGACAGCTCAATTAATCACTGTCCTCCTCTAATTCTTCCCAGTGAAATTATGCGGTATCGACCGGCGAGCTTCATCACGACTGAATTGCACAAAATGTATGATAAATAACTTCCCATTTGGAAAACAACGGCAACAGAAGTGCTCAAGTACAGGTGGCCTGATTCTACCGTACCACGCCGCATGGTTGCACAGATGATTCATCACCTAGCTAAAGCAAAAATGAGTTTGTTCGAGAATATTTAAGAGCTTTTTACGCAATAAAACTGCGGTACGGCTCAACAGAATTACACAAAAGCCAACATTAATCTCTGAGAAGTCAAAGTAAACATACCGTCCTTAAGGATCGTTTCCCGAGCGGTTCCGTCAATCTTCTGCCGTCCAATTAGGAAGCTTGTGGTGTCGGCAAAGTAGATGTAGCTACTCTCTGCATGGAACTCCAGCGCTCTGGGACTCACGAGCCCTTCGATTTGAATCAAATGTTCATCTCCAGACTTGATATTCATATCCAGACCTCTGATAACCCCAGGCCGTCCTTTTCCGTAAAACAGGAACAGCTCATTCTTTGGTTCTGCGAATACATGATAACCCAAAGTAAACAAACGCAGTGGCGTAACGTAATAAGCCTTCTGCCAAAGTACTGTCAGAGCTTAATTAATTGACATAATTAGCCTCCGTTTTCAATTCAGTTCTGCAAATTAAAGCCTTTGACAAAAATGTATCCAAAGCGAGAGGCTCAAGCTAATTGCATTAGCTTAATTAAAACCAGAATTAGTTCCACTGATTCGATTCTATAGAATAAATCATCTTTTGGTGCATAACAGTTACATTGTGTTTGTAATTGTATCTGAGTGTGTGTGTGTGTGTGTGTAGAAGTAACTGGGGATAAACAGGGTCCTAAGTGTGGGCAGCAAAGAGAGGGACACGTTCATATGAAGCACAATGTTTTCGAAAGCCATTACTTACAGGCTGCAGTGGAGAGGATGATTGTAATTATTATTAGGTCTGAGATCCAGTGAGATCCAGAGAGACAAGAGGAAGAAACCAGGATGAAGGGATAGAGGAACCCAACAAGAACAATTGTGTGCTTTTGAACTTTGATTCTGAGGCCAAACGATTCCTTTGTGAGAGAAATTTGAGCCATTATTGACTCTCGAGCATATGCCATTCCATTGCTCTCAAGTTTGATTTCATAAAGTTTGTTCGCAAGATGTGAGAATGAATGACGCACAATGTTATTGACTTCCATGAGGCAAAGAGAGACAGGAATTAAATTTTTGTGTGAACTGCTTAAAATAACCATGTCCTGTTCTTGTATAATCCACTGAATCAAATAATTTACAAATGAATGGTACTTCAACTCATTCATAATGAATGAATGACGAGTCTGGCTTCACATTGAGTAACACTTGAGATAAAAACAAAAAACTCAATTGGAGGAGCCACATTTAAAACCACTATAAAATAGACCATTTATGCCCCCATTTGATGCACATCATTATATATGATTTCTGAGAGCTGGATGACGCATTGCAGTGATGAATAATATCAATGGATGTAAATGTGGGAAGTCACCCGATGACACGCCAACACACTCTTGACAACTTGTAATAATTCAGACAAGGTGACAAATTGTCATATCTGTTTATACAAAAAGGTACAACTTTAAGTAGCAATCATGGTTAGGGTCAAGCATGAAAGGCTTTTTCTGCCACAGAACAAAAAAAAAAATGCAACTGGAATTTTTTAGCTCACAATTCAGACTTGTTTCTTGCAATTCTGAGGGGAAAAAAGAACTGTGGTAAAAACTCAGAATTGTATGGAAGCCCGTTTCCACCACTGAATAAAAAATAAAAAAGATAATTGCGACTTTTTATCTCACAATTCTGACTTTTTTTCTTGCAATTGTGAGTTTACATACTGCAATTTTGACTTTTTTTCTCAGAATAGCAGGATATAAACACAATTGCCAATTCTGTAATAAAGTCCACATAAAGTCCAATTCTGAGGGGGAAATAAGACTGACATATTCTCAGAATTGCAAGATATAAACTTACAATTCTGAGGAAAAAAAGTCAGAATTATGAGTTTATATCTCTCAGTTCTGACTTTATTTTTCAGAATTGCGAAATGTAAACACAATTGTGAGAAAAAAGTCAGAATTGTGAGAAAAAAAGTCGCCATTACCTTTTTTTATCGTTTAATTCCATGATGGAACAAAAAAGGCAAGATACAAATTTAACAAGCCAGCATGCAATTCTGAGTTTAAATCTTTAAGTTCTGACTTTTTTTTTTTTTTTTTAAATATAGGGAAAAAAAGCAATAAATTAACTGTGAGATAAATTATCCAGCTCTGGAGAAAGAGAGAGCAGAAAGAAATTGAGAAAATGTTGTTCTTTTAGCTTGATAACATCAAAGACAGCTCAATTAATCACTGTCCTCCTCTAATTCTTCCCAGTGAAATTATGCGGTATCGACCGGCGAGCTTCATCACGACTGAATTGCACAAAATGTATGATAAATAACTTCCCATTTGGAAAACAACGGCAACAGTATTGCTCAAGTACAGGTGGCCTGATTCTACCGTACCACGCCGCATGGTTGCACAGATGATTCATCACCTAGCTAAAGCAAAAATGAGTTTGTTCGAGAATATTTAAGAGCTTTTTACGCAATAAAACTGCGGTACGGCTCAACAGAATTACACAAAAGCCAACATTAATCTCTGAGAAGTCAAAGTAAACATACCGTCCTTAAGGATCGTTTCCCGAGCGGTTCCGTCAATCTTCTGCCGTCCAATTAGGAAGCTTGTGGTGTCGGCAAAGTAGATGTAGCTACTCTCTGCATGGAACTCCAGCGCTCTGGGACTCACGAGCCCTTCGATTTGAATCAAATGTTCATCTCCAGACTTGATATTCATATCCAGACCTCTGATAACCCCAGGCCGTCCTTTTCCGTAAAACAGGAACAGCTCATTCTTTGGTTCTGCGAATACATGATAACCCAAAGTAAACAAACGCAGTGGCGTAACGTAATAAGCCTTCTGCCAAAGTACTGTCAGAGCTTAATTAATTGACATAATTAGCCTCCGTTTTCAATTCAGTTCTGCAAATTAAAGCCTTTGACAAAAATGTATCCAAAGCGAGAGGCTCAAGCTAATTGCATTAGCTTAATTAAAACCAGAATTAGTTCCACTGATTCGATTCTATAGAATAAATCATCTTTTGGTGCATAACAGTTACATTGTGTTTGTAATTGTATCTGAGTGTGTGTGTGTGTGTGTGTAGAAGTAACTGGGGATAAACAGGGTCCTAAGTGTGGGCAGCAAAGAGAGGGACACGTTCATATGAAGCACAATGTTTTCGAAAGCCATTACTTACAGGCTGCAGTGGAGAGGATGATTGTAATTATTATTAGGTCTGAGATCCAGTGAGATCCAGAGAGACAAGAGGAAGAAACCAGGATGAAGGGATAGAGGAACCCAACAAGAACAATTGTGTGCTTTTGAACTTTGATTCTGAGGCCAAACGATTCCTTTGTGAGAGAAATTTGAGCCATTATTGACTCTCGAGCATATGCCATTCCATTGCTCTCAAGTTTGATTTCATAAAGTTTGTTCGCAAGATGTGAGAATGAATGACGCACAATGTTATTGACTTCCATGAGGCAAAGAGAGACAGGAATTAAATTTTTGTGTGAACTGCTTAAAATAACCATGTCCTGTTCTTGTATAATCCACTGAATCAAATAATTTACAAATGAATGGTACTTCAACTCATTCATAATGAATGAATGACGAGTCTGGCTTCACATTGAGTAACACTTGAGATAAAAACAAAAAACTCAATTGGAGGAGCCACATTTAAAACCACTATAAAATAGACCATTTATGCCCCCATTTGATGCACATCATTATATATGATTTCTGAGAGCTGGATGACGCATTGCAGTGATGAATAATATCAATGGATGTAAATGTGGGAAGTCACCCGATGACACGCCAACACACTCTTGACAACTTGTAATAATTCAGACAAGGTGACAAATTGTCATATCTGTTTATACAAAAAGGTACAACTTTAAGTAGCAATCATGGTTAGGGTCAAGCATGAAAGGCTTTTTCTGCCACAGAACAAAAAAAAAAATGCAACTGGAATTTTTTAGCTCACAATTCAGACTTGTTTCTTGCAATTCTGAGGGGAAAAAAGAACTGTGGTAAAAACTCAGAATTGTATGGAAGCCCGTTTCCACCACTGAATAAAAAATAAAAAAGATAATTGCGACTTTTTATCTCACAATTCTGACTTTTTTTCTTGCAATTGTGAGTTTACATACTGCAATTTTGACTTTTTTTCTCAGAATAGCAGGATATAAACACAATTGCCAATTCTGTAATAAAGTCCACATAAAGTCCAATTCTGAGGGGGAAATAAGACTGACATATTCTGAGAATTGCAAGATATAAACTTACAATTCTGAGGAAAAAAAGTCAGAATTATGAGTTTATATCTCTCAGTTCTGACTTTATTTTTCAGAATTGCGAAATGTAAACACAATTGTGAGAAAAAAGTCAGAATTGTGAGAAAAAAAGTCGCCATTACCTTTTTTTATCTTTAATTCCATGATGGAACAAAAAAGGCAAGATACAAATTTAACAAGCCAGCATGCAATTCTGAGTTTAAATCTTTAAGTTCTGACTTTTTTTTTTTTTTTTTTAAATATAGGGAAATAAAGTCATAAATTAACTGTGAGATAAAGTCATAATTACTTATTATTATTATTATTATTTTTTTTTTAATACGTGGCAGAAACAGGCTTTTATAGTTAAGGGTTTAGATCTATTGTTAGGGTTAAGTTAGTTTAGGTTATGCGTTCTTCTTACGATTTCACAATATTTTACAAATTATTACCATTTTGGGCATGCTTACACCAGAGCCTGAATTTTTTTGTACATTTGGTTGACTGATATAGAAAATAATGCAAATCTCCATTTTTTTCCTATGAAAAATTTACGAAGTGAAGGCTACTGATTTTTATGACACGAGGTATAACTTAAGCATAATTCGTACACTAAATAAAACTGTAGGCAATATTTACTGCATATAAGTAGTTCACCATCTGAACTTTGAGAAAAACTCCTTTTAAGATCTTCTGTCTTCCTACACACACAAATACACACACATAGAGACAAAACATATAAATTTCCCATGTAATCCGCCCTAATGTGCTGAACGTGGACTATTAATCACAGAAACGTGTCCATTTTTCAGCGTCTTGCGGCTCCATAAATTTGGTCATAAATTTCCATTTTGACAAACCCACGAGGGCCATCCATCTGATATACGGTTTCAGATAGCAGCACCTCATCCATTGGGAATACCCCTAAAACCATTTAAGACCCGTCTCCCAGAGCTAATCAGACACCTGGGAGCTACAGGAGGAAGAGACAGAAAAGAGAGATTGTTTTTTTGTGACCCTCACTTTTGCATGACTTCCCGTCGCTGGCAAGGACGTGGCCGGTCCGGCAGCGGCACATGCGTGATTTGTAGTTGTGGCTCAGGAGACAGATATGCGAGCATCCACCCTTTCGTCCGTGTGTATCAGGGCTGCATGCGTGAGTCCTGACTGGAGTAAGAGAAAGGTCAGTATCGTGGAGCTAGCATTGGAAAATATCACTGAAATAGCACTGAAAATATCACTTCAGTCACACCCTAAATGGTTTATAATTTTTCATAGTAAACAAACGTATACAGCTAAAACATCTGATAAATAGTGCATTATTTAGAATGATGTTTCACGCAGAGCAGGAAAAAACAATGCTACTGTACATACAACAGCACAATAAAATGTGAAATGCTCTTTGTGATATTTTGACAACTTCATTAGTCACTTTGCACAGCGAAATGGTAATACAAGATCTAGCGCAGTGTTTCTTCAATGTTTTAGGAGGATAAAATTATTAGAATGGTATTTCACACACAGCAGGGAAAAACAATACGACATGCTACATAACAAAATGCTAAATAATAAAAGGCTAATTGTGTATAGTTAGGAAAGCAAAACATAGGCATAAAATCTTTAAACATGGAGGAGAAAATGTTTTTCATATTTTGGTTGATGTCAAAGATCATACATCTCACTCTAGGATATTTTGACACAAATTCATTAGTCACTTTTAGCATTGTCAGGATTCTGGACTGTCTGTATCGTGTTTTGCCCCTGTTTCTGTTCTAGTTTGTCCTTATTTGGTCATTTTCCTGTCCTCGTTTAGTATGATTGTCATATGTGATCCACCTGTGTTTCTTCAATTATCCCTAGCATTTAAGCTCCTGTCTTTGCGTTTCTCCCCTGTCGGGTCTACTTCGTCTTTACATGTGTCAGCATCCCGTTCCTGTATTGGATTACCCCTGTGTTTCAATGATTAAAAGACTGTTGATTGTACTCCACGTTTCTCTCGTCCTTCCGACAGTGTAAGTGTGACACAAGACCCGACCTAGACAGTAACCTCCGATTGTCTACCCCCCGTTTTGTTTCCCCGTTTTCACCCAGTGTCTTTTTTTCCGTTGTGTGCCCTTATGGATCCTCTCGTCCGCCCAGAGTTCCTCCTTCTCCTGCTAGAGCAGGGGGAGCGATCTCTCGAGGACCATACTAGACTGTTCCAGCTGCTAGCTAACACCACCAGCAACCCGGACGACGCGCTCTGTGCATTCTATGACACAAGTGTAAACACTGCGTGCAGAGCGCCGTAGTCTGAAGATGGTCCTCGAGTGGATTTTGCTGCATTTGTGGAGTGGATTCTGGCGACAAACGGATCACCAGATCCACTCCTGAACCAGAGCCCAGCCCACCATCTCCCCCCGCTGTGTGGAACTAAAGCCCGAGCCCACCGATGATGGAGAGCCAAT